AAATTTATTATTATTTATACTTTATTCAATATTATTAAATGTTATTCTATGTTCATTTTCTTTATAATGCTATATCAATTTATATTTTATTTGTTGTTTGATACTCATTACATTATGTTAATTTCTTCTTTAGTTGTTTAATATTTATTGTTTTTATTTTATAATTTTACATACTTATAAATCATTAAAATTTCTTTTATTGTGATTATTCATAATTTATACAAAATTATTCCTTTGTATCTTAAATCTTTTAATACATTTGATTCTCATTATTATTATTTCTTCAATTTATTTACTTTAACAACCACATATATTTTAATTTTAACCAATGTAATTTATATAACCTTTACATTATTTTGAATCTATATATTTATCATTTAATTTTGTATTTTTCTTTTATTCTATTCTGACAACTTATAACATCTATTTTTATATTCCTTTTTCTTTTTGAATTATTTATTTCTCCTATCTCATTTACTGTTTCTTCTATATATTACTTCATTATTCTAATCATTTCATTTTTACTTTTTATAACATTCTTTCATTTCGCAATTTTATTTCTTCTGTAAAACGTATCTTCTTTATTTTTCTTGTCTTGATATTTATTTAACTTCTTTTATCTATCTTATTCTTTATTTATAACTTCTTCTTTTTTCTCTTTCTCTCTTTCTCTTCCTCATTTCTTCACTTCATAGTATTCAATAATATCTTCTTTATTTCTTTGGTTACCTTCATTATTTCTATTCACCATTATCATCACCCACATTTTATTTCATTTTCTTCATTCTCATTTCTTATTTAATACCCTTCATTTTTTTTATTCATTATCTCTTGTTTTTTTTTTATTCTTTTTCTTTTTTTAATGACAAAAAATAATATTAAAACGAATAACAAATTAATAACAACACAACAATTTGTTATATTCTTTGGTTGAAGAGAATTGATGATATGCAGATTCAAAATTCTCATAAAGTTTTTTTGGGTCTATATCTAAATTACTATCAACAGCAAAACTAACAAAAAGATCACCACCACTTCCAATAAAACTAATTCCATTACCTGTTGTCCCTAAGTGAGGGACAAACCCAATAAAATCATCAACTTCAGAACCGAAAAAATTCACTTTGTCTTGTGGTCCAGGTAATGTAGTTACATTTAATGTAGCTTTTTGTGATACAATTTTAATCCCAATTGATTCCATCCAATCAGGAAGTAGTCCAACAAAACCTTGAAGAAGATAATAAGAATAAGCCTCCATACTTTCCTTTGCGTTGTCTAACTGTTTTTTCATATACTTGACAAGGGAATTTAAGTCTGTTTCTTGTAATGGTAATTTCATTAATAACAGTCCAATATTATTACCTAGTTTGATTTGAGGTTCAAAAGGTCTTAGATTAGTCGCAATATAGAATTGTAATTGTTTGCTTGAACTTCCTTTTCTTTTTAATATGTTTGAATAGCTAATGTTCAAACAAGAGAATAATAATGAGTTTAATGTACCATCATAATACCTTGCAATTGATTTAATATTTTCAATTGAATCAAGTTTCCTCCAAAAAACTAATTGCTTTCCACTCAATGGTTTCCTTAGTTCTTTGGTAAAATCTCCTCTAACAAAAAATGACTTAACCATGTAATAAGGGATTATTAAAATTCTACAGAGTCTTTTAATAATTGTTGCTGGTTGTTGTTTATTTGCTAGACTCGATAATTTAGGTATTTGTTTATTTATATCCAAAAAATGATAATTTGGCTCTTCATTAAAAATAATTGAAGATATATGCTGTGTAGACTCTTTCAATAATCTCATTGCAGTCATTCCATCACAATAACAATGAGAAACTCTTGCTAGAATTCTCCATTCATTCATTACATTAGTATACAAGTATATTTTCCATTGAGGTTTATCAGTGTCTAATGGAGCTGATTTATATTTTTCTAGTATGTTTATATATTGTTCATACGTTTTAAATGCTGTAGTATCAATGATAATATGGTTATCAATATTCATTGGAACAGACTCTAGAATATAATAACCATTCAACTTGCTAATTCTTTGACAGAATCTTTTGTGTTTAGTAAATTCTAGAAAAAGTAACTGCCTTGCATTTTTCCAATCAATTTGTCCTTTCCCACCAATACTTGCAGTAATCACCATTGGATTTTCTGGTGTTGTTAATCTGTACCAACACACATCAACAAAATCCATAAAATCTTTCCCTTCACCAAGGTTTGGTTTATTAAGAATAAATAATAAAAGCTCAGTTAAAAAAGGAAAGAATATAGATAAGACTGTGTAGAGTGAGTTTCTTCTAAAGAACAAAGATAAGGTATAAGTTAGAGGTATATTAATCAAGTACATAATAAAGATTGTAATAATAAAAGGTCCCATCAAGAATAAACAGCCTCTTGTTTTTTTTTTTAAGTTTAAATCTTCCCTTTTCTACAAAAATGGAGTAATCAACTATTTCACGAGGAAAGGTTCAAATTATAATTTGATAAAAATCTCATTACCGAGTATTTTAATCGATTAATGTTCTTTTCTATGTTTTGTTTTTGCAACAAGAATCATCGATTTCTATTTCTATTCTTAAGTTACTGATATTGAGGAAATATAATGTCTATCCAATACTGTTATTATTTGTTATAAATAACATATGGAAAAAAACTGAATAAAGAAAGACTAAAAAAATATAAAGAAAGGAGAGATGTTTATATATTATATTATTTATATTATAAGTTTAGTTTTTGCTATTGATGATAATGATTTTATTTTAGAAGAAAAGGTAAATGAAGAGTATGAATTTTACGATGACTTTGGTGATGATTTTGATGATGATTTTGGTGATGACAATGAATTTAGAATAGAAGATAAAACTAGTGAAAGAGAACATTAAATTAATTTCCTTGAAGTATAAGAAAACGTTTTGGAATAAAAGTAGACATAAAATTTGGTTTGCCTAATAAATCATCAGGGGAATTAACATAGAAATAATCCTTGATTGAAGGAAAGACAAAACTTTTTGAAGAATTTAAAGGTTTAAGCAAATTAATGCAATAACTAATCCAAAGAACAATTTCAAAATGAGACTCATTTGTATTTAAACATAAGCAAGTTTCAGTTAATGCTTTTGAAAGAAATTTTAATGGAGTATTAGGAGAATTATGATTATTTAAACTAAAAAGGAAAATATTTTCATCAGATTTTCCAACCCAATTTGAGAATTGCTGTGGTTGTTGAACAATTCTTTTAGTTGGTATTTGAGAATGATAAGTACCAAATAAATCATTTTCAACAGTTTGGATTAACAGAACAATATTATCTTTTCCATACAATATTCTTTGAATTTGTTGAATAGTAAATTCCTCTACACGAGTGTCATAAATAATTTGAAATTGAGTACAATTAGTCCATTGTTTTAATGATTCTAATAAAGATAAATTCATAATAAAAGAACTAAATAAATTCTTTTAAAAGAAAGAAAAAAAAAAGTTTAAATAAACATTCAAATCATTTAATTTTTTTTAAGTATTAATTTAGAAGAATCAATATCATCTAATACTGTTGGATATTCAGAATTTTGCATTAATATTGAAGGAATAGGTGGACTTTGAATTCTTTCAATAACAATTTCAGATTCATAGTCAATAGTAATATGATTAACTTTTTCAATAAATTCATTTAAAATTGTATTAATTTCATTAAATAATTCATTTAATGATTTATAACTTTCTTGAAATAACTTTTTTAATGGAAGATGTTTTTGTTTTAATTTTTTATCATCTTCATTTAATAAATTACATTGTTCTTTAATAAAATCAATCACTCCACTTTCATCAAAAATCTTTTGAATAGCAATTTTAGTTTTTTCAATACTTTCTTTAAAGACTTCTTGTTCAAATCTATTTTTTTGTTTTTCTTCTTCTATTGAATCTTTCATTTTTTTCATTATTTTTTCTTCATTTCCATTATCTTTTAGAATTTCAATTTCTAATTCTTTTTTTACTTCTTCTATTTTATTTTGAATTTTTTGTTCAAATATTTCCATACATTCTTCCATTTTAATTTCATTTCCAATAGGAAAATATTCATTATTTTTTTCTTTAATAGAATTACTAATAATTAGTTGATATTTTTGAATAATTGATTCTATTTCTTTATTCATTTCTGGTATTAACTCTTTTATTTCTTTTTTAATTTCTTCTTTATTTCTTTGAATTTGATTAATTTCTTTTTCTTTTATTTTTTCTTTTTCTTTTATTTCTTCTTCCATTTCTTTTTTTTGTTGTTGAATGAATTGAATAAGTAATTGAAATTGTTCAATAATTTTATCTTCAACTGGACTCCATCTACTTTTTCCTTGTTCTAATCTATTAATCATTTGATTTATAAGAAGTTCAAAATCATTCATTTCTTGTTGACTTTCTTCTAATACATCTTCTATTATTTTTATTGTTTTTTTTCCATCATATTTAAATGAAATAATTACTTTATTTAACATCTCATTAATTTCATTCATTGATGAATATTTTGGAAGTTCTATTTTTCTACATTCTTCTCCTTCTAAATGATTATTTATTTCTTTCATTAATTCAATGATTTTTTCTTCTCCTTCATTATATTTTTTTTTAAATTCATCAACATCTATTCTACATTCATTAATACTTTTTTCAATATATTCTTTTTGTCTTTGTGCTTCTTCAACTTGTTTTTGAATCATATCTTCTAATTGTTTATTATGTTCTTCAATTTTTTTAGCTAAATCAATCATATCTGTAATTTTATCTCTAAGTTCTAATTCAGTTCTTTTCTTTTTTGTAATATATTCATTTGCTATTAAAATCTTTTGATTAATTTTATTATATTCTGGTTCTGACTCTTTTCTAACTCTTTGAATTAAACTACCAATTTGAACATTAGTGTATCTTTGATTTTGAATGTCTTGTTGAAGTTTTTTTGCTTCTAATGCCTCTTTAGAAATAACATTTTTTCTAAGAAGATCAGAGTATTGATAATTTAATTGTTTTATTTCTTCATCTAAATAATTATCATAAACTGATTTTAATATATGTCTTGAATATATTGGAACATTCTTAATAGTTTTTAATTTATTTAAAAACCTTAATGTTTGAATAGTTTCTTGTTGATTTATTGATGAAATACATCCAATTGCTATTAAAAATCCTTGTCCACCTAATGCTTCTTGTAAAATACGGGTAATGTCATTATTCTTTGTAGATAATCTCATTCTTTGTTCTCTATTTGATTCAACATAACAATTTAATCCATTAAGTAAACTTCCTTTATGATTACTTTCTTCCCAACAACATGGAAGATCAATAAATGTAATTCTTCCACAATCAATATATTCTTTTTGTCCTCTTTTTTCTTCTTCTGATGAAATTATTGAAGCTGAGAATACTCTACAAACGTTTTCAAGTTTTTCTATTTCATTCTTTGTTCTCTCTTTTCTAAGAACATTTAATTTAGAAAAAACTTGTGATGTAGTACTTTCTGTAACTGTTAATTCTGTTGCACAGAGAAACATAACTCCTCCAAGTTGATTTTTAAATTTTTTTGTTGGCTCTTTCAATAAAACATCACTCTCACCTTCACATAATAAATCACTAATCTTTTTATCTTCAACTTGAATATAACTCACTCGAATTGTATATTTTCCTTTTGTTTTTAATTCTTCAATAAGTGCATTAATTGATCGTGGAATCAATCCAGCATTAGTAAAATCAATATTATTAAAACACCCTTCTAAACTAAATGTTTTTCCAGACTGCTTTCCTCCATAACACATAACATAAAGATCAGTCCCTTCAATAACTCTTTTAATCATCTTACTTACTGTATTTTTGAAGAATGTTTCTTGATCTTTTCCTTTCATAATTGCATCAATATTATATTCTGTCTGTTCATTACTCAAATCTCCTTCAAAGGTATTTGTTGTTCTTATCACTGTTTGCATTAATTATCACTTTCTTTCTTTAGTCTTTTTTTTATGTTTTTTTTTAGATTTTGTATGATTTTCTTTTCTTAATAACATAAATTTTTATAAAAAATGTTATTCTTTCTATCTTTCAATTCTTTAAAAACCATCAATAATGACTATCACAATTAAAAATGTTATTCTTGTTATTCATTGTTATTTCTAATTTCCTTTCTATGATAGTTTAAAAGTAAAGTTGTTTATAACCTAAATAAATTTATTTAATTAATAATGAAAAAGTTAAAACCAAAATAAATAAAATACCTTTAGACTTTGTTTTTTTTAATAATAATTATTAGTCTCTTTAAATAAAAAACAATAAAACACTTATAAAATATAAATTATAAAATAACTTTAAAGATAATTAATGATAACTTAGCAACTATTTAATTATTCTAACTTGAATAACAAAATAATTAAATAAGTCATAAGTATTAAAATCTAGTAAATTTTAATATCTTTAAATTTATTGTTAAAAAAAATAACAAAGACTCAATTCTTCAACATAAAAAATAATATGTTATATGAAAATAGCTCTAGAACATACCAAGACATTAGTTAATATAACAATAATGAAAAAACAAAAATATTGTAAGAGATTATACATAATGTATAAACTTCAAAAAGTAAATAAAAAAAGTTAAATTTTATTTAATTTACTCAATTAAAAAAAAATAATAAAAAAATTAAAAAAAATTGTATTTTGTAAAATTAATAACGTATTAAGTTAAAAAGGTTAAATAGTAAAACAATTAAAATATTAGAGATATCCTGTATATAATCTACTTGTATCAACACTTGACATTACCTTAGATGATGGCGTTCTTTTAAAGGTTACTGCACGTGTTCCAGTACAAGGGACTGGTGGCATTAATTGCATCTTACGTTGATTTTTATTTTTAAATGAAGCAGGTGTAGCTGAATTACTTTCAGACTCAGTAACTGATTCTGTGACTGAATCATCTCTACTTAAAGTATTACCTTTAGTATGACTCATGTAATCCATAATTTTAACTGCATCACCTCGTGTTTCTGGATGTTTAATTCTTGGAGTCATCATAGCATCTAAATCATAAGAAGGAACTTCTGCTAACACACACTCACCAACACCATCTTCAATTTTAGTTTCTAATTTCTTTACTCTAGCAATTTCATTTCTTAATACTCTAACAATATGTCCTATTTTTCTTCCTTCTTCAGTTAATGCTGAAATAACTTCATCATCAGCATCACTTTGGTCTATATATTCATTATAATTACGTTTAAAATCTTTTTGTATTTCAATTGCTTTATTGAAGAAAGCCTCATCACATTGTAATTGATGTCTTATTTGTAATGATCCATTTCTTAATAAGTTACTTTTCTTTAATGGTTCTTTACACAATTCATGGAAATCACTCATTTCTTGAAGTAATTTTCTAAATTCTGGAGAAAGGACTGAAAATATTTCTTTGTCAATATCATTTCTCACAATAGGTGGTTTTGGTAATAATGAAGCAGATGATGGAATAAATCCTCCTTCTCCATTTTCAGGTAATGAAGGTGTATGAGTAACTGATGAATTTGATGAGTCATCATCATATTCAGGATAGACTAATGGTGGAAATACAAGTCCTTTCTTTGTATATTTTTTATATAATTCTTGATAATGTTCTGTTTGAGGTAAAGCCATTACTAACTGAACTAAATTCATTGCTTTTAATTGTGTTAATGTTGGTTTAGATTTAAATAATCCAACTAATTTCTACTCGTATGTTATTTAAAACTCATATAAACCAAATTTTTGGTTAAATAAAACAAACATCAAATTGAGCCATTTTTTCTAATGCCTTAACAAATTCTTTGTCTTTAATAAATACATCAAAACCTTTTACTTTTACTACAAGAAATTCCATTAAGCATAAACAATAATACACTTCTAATGAAGCAATAAATCTGAACGGATGTGATTTGAGTTTATTTAATAATTGTAATCGAAGAACTGGACATGTTTGTTCTTGTTTTCTTAAAACATGTGCTATTTTTATATATAACTTAATATTAGGAGTAGGGTTATAATCACCAACTGCATTATCAAGTAATGTACTTAGTGGTATACTACGTTTCTTCATTCAACAAATCCAAGTTGTGATTTTCTAGTGAAATGATTTTTTAGAAGGGTTTCTTTCCATCAGATTTTTCCTTTTCAGAAATTATGCTTTTTCTATCTCCATCTTTCTTTTTATCTTATTTTAAATAATACTTTTATCATTTCTCAGTAGTTTTTTATTTTTAGTTGAAAATAAGAAGATTTTTAAGTATGAAAAAAATATAAATAAAAAATAGAAATGTGCATTTTATTGAAATAATAAAATAAACTATTTAATCTATAAACATTTATAAGAATAGTTTTATTGACTTTCTAGACACTTTCGTGATTGTAAAATGATTTTGGTGTATGAGGAGTAATTATATAATAATATTTATATTGTTACCATTCCAACCCTTGTCTTTTAATAATGAAGTTAACATTAACTTCTACGTATTTAGTTAATTTAACTTTTTTTAGTATTTAGCTAATTTCTATTCTAATTCTTATCGTTGTTGTAATGTGATTTGATAATATAAAGCTTTCTTTAAAACTTTAGTTATTTGTATTGACCTAATTAGTTTAAGGAAGTTCCTTTTTTTAATTGTTTTCTTTGTCAGTTATTGTACAATAATAATAAGAAATAAATATTCTTTTATTTGTTTTTAAGAGAAGTAACTGTCACTATTTATCTTAATACAATACCATTCTTTTATATTTTTCTAATAATACATTTACTTTACTTATTTTATTATTTTATGATGTTAGCTACTACTAAAATATATGTATCTATAAAGTAAAACATTTTGATATAACTTAAGTTCTGATAGAATTTATTATTAATGCATGATTTCCATTACTTGAGGAAGTTAGAGTGAGGTTCAATTCATAATCCTTTTAAAGGAAAGACATACCTATCATTCTTCTTTTTATATTAACAAGTAATAATAATTTTTGGTTACAAATTGTTGAAGTAATTATTGTATGTTAAGATTTATTGAGTGAAGAAAAGTTTCTGAGTCTACGACCTATTAGTTATACTAAAGATTGGAAGAATAACCAACTAGAATATAAAATTATCTTTTACATTAATTCAACCTAATAAAATATTAAATACAGTTTATCTTCATGAAAAAAAAAAGAATTATTATGAAATTAAGAATAAAAATAAGTTATATAATGATTAATAATACATAAATATAATAAATAATGGTATAGTAATTATCAAAATAAATTGTAATAATTAAATAACAACAAGAAGGAACATTATAATAAATAGTGATAAAAATAAATATAATTAAGTTTTATATAAGATATATTTTTTAATAAAAGGAATTATTGAAAATATTTTAAAAAAAAAAGAATTGATTGGTATAATAAAAATATTATAAATATTTTATTATTCTTTTAGATTATAAAAATTCAATAAATGAGAGTTTTATGTATTGTTTTATATTAAAGTTTTTTTTTATCATTAAATTCTTACATTCTATATCTAATATTAAATTAATGGTTGATAGTAATACTGTTACTATTAAATAGTCTCTTTTAATTTGAATTTTATTATAAGATATTTTTGAATATACAAAAATAATTTGACACTTCTTTATTTGTTATTATTTCATCCATTTTATTGAAAATAAAATATTTATTTAAATTGTGTTATTCTTTTTTTTTTAAAAAAAGTAATTATTTATATTAATTTAATTAGATACTTTATATATTTTAATCAAAAAAAAATATGTTTATCTTCTTCTTTATAAATCATAAATATTCTTTTACTCATTAAAAAATATTATAAATTCCTAAGGAAAAATAAATAACAAAATTTTTGCAAATATATTTATACAAAAAAGGTATTATCATTTCAATTAACATTGGTTCTTCCATCGACTGAAATAATGATTTTATGAAATATTTCTGAAGGTAAATTAATATTAAGAAAGAAAAGAAAAAAATAACAAAATTTTTTTTCAGAGTTTCATGACAAAAATTTTTTAATTTTGTTTAAAAAACAAAATAACAATTTTTATATAAAATTAAGAAAAATTAAAAATGTTAAATGGAAAATCTTCTGTATCGACCACCTCAAAGTAACTATTCAGAAATCACTGACCAGGATGATAAAACTGTAAGTGACCAAAATGCGCTACAAAGAAGTGTTAAAAAAACATTATTTTATATTATTATAGCAACGGTTGTTTTTATTCCTATTTGTGTTTCATTTAATATTGCAACTAGACCACATTCATATACATGTTCTGCTTCAAATAACAAATTATTTACAAAATATATTGGACCTATGTCAGTTGATAACACAAGTTTAATCTTACCGATGTATGGAATTATAACTTTAAAAGGAACTTTCGTAAATAAAAAAAGAATTCCCTTAAGCGTTAATGTTTTTTCTATAGGAGATGATGGTAAGAGAGTGGATAAAGGAATTAAGTATGACACCTCTTCGATTCAAGTTCCAGAAAATGATTGTCAATCTTCAGGGATTTATTTCACTCAATTTGAAATTTGTAAAACACTTAGATTTACTCTTGCAGCAAATAAAACAAATGTAAAGAAAAGAAATGCTGAAGAAATTATTATTGATAAAGTGATGATTGAGATTGAGTCTCCCCCTTCAATTGATCAAGACCAATGTACTTTAGGAATTGAATATATACTAATTGATAATACAAAAAATTCAACAGAGTATCATCATTATCCTGACCCTACAAAGTCTTCTTGTATTGGAATAGAAAATACTTATTTTTATGCAATTACATCAAATAAGTCTCAAAGTCAATATGTAATGTTCAGTAAAAATATTAAAGATTCACCTAATCTATATCCAACAACAATTGGGTGTAATATACCTCATGAAACATTTACGTATAATCTTACATCACGATGTCCTGGTTGTTTTATAACTTTTAGTTCATATTTTATTGATCCTTTTTGGGAAACACCAGTATTTGCTAATAATCATACAACAAAAATGTATTTCACAGAATTGGTTGATTTGATTGGTTTCAATTCATACTCATTCATTCATCCAAATTCTGAATATTCCCATATCATATATCCTTATATTTTTTTGTCTCCACCGAAATAAATGATTTTATTAATTCTGATTCTTATGTTATTTATTACATAGAACAATTATATAGGTTTTAAACATTTTAATTCTCTTAAAAAACAACAAAAATATAAATAGAATGAACAAAAATTTATAAATCAAAAAAGAGATAAAAATATTAGATCTTACAGAAATTGCATGAGTGAACCTCCTAAACCATTGTCAGTAAAAGTTGTATTAATGATAGACAGTCATACACTAAGGTTTGATAAACAAGTAACTAAAAATACTAAAATTGGAGATATTTTAGCACAAATTAAAGGAGGATTAACAAATGAACAGAAGAAATATGAATTTAGTTGTTTTAATGATGGAATTAGATTAGTAGAAAATAATGTAATTGATTTTTATGGAATTGATGATGGAGATGAAATAGAAATTAAAGCATTAAATAAACCAATGGCTATGGCAAGATTATCAAGAGTAGCTCCACATGAAAAAGATTATCATCAAATATATTTAAATAGTGAAAAAGTAGGCTTTTTATTAAAAAAGAAAGTATCTAAAGTGAGTGGATGGAAAAGAAGATGGGTTGTTTTATGTAGAGGATTCTTATTTTATTATAATAATCCTAAAGATGAAATTCCAATTGGAAAAATGCAAATAAAAGATACATATATTCAATTTTTAGGAAGTGATGGAGAAAAACAATTTGTTTTTCAATATGAAAATAAACCAGACTGTTATCATTTTAGTTGTGAAAGTGAAGAAGAATATATTAGTTGGAGAAAAGTTCTTATAGAACATCAAACATGTTTAATTAGTACAGTAGCAATGAAAATGATTCAAGAATCTACTGATTTTAGTATTGTTACAATTAATAAAACAAAAAAAGCATGGTTAATGATGAATTCAGGGACTATTTTTTGTT